AAAAAAAAAAAAAAAACAAAGAAAATATTGTTGGAAAAAGAAAAACATTTGCTTAATATCATTTCTGGAATTATTTATTGAAAGGGTAAAGGTTAAACCATGAATACACAAACAACTCTTAATATGAATAGCATAAACATAAATATTAATGAAAAAATTAAGTTACCGTTTCAAGATCTTCCTGATTTATATACAATTTCGGAATATATAATTCTATACCACGTATACCAACTTGATCCGCTAACCATACTTCCCTTTTGGACTTCATCCTGAAACAACTGAAAGGAAATATATCCTGAATATTTACGGAATGTAAAAATAAAAAAGAACGAAATGATCAAACAACAAAAAAAGAAAAAGCTGATCTCTTTAGGAAAGAAGAATTTCCTCTAAAAGAAAATATTTAAAGAATATTTTTCCAAATATAATTTGTTAGCAGTGCTAACGGAAAAAAAAAAGAGTTGATAACAATATAAGTTAACTAAACATAAAGAACCGATAATTCGATAATTGATAAGGATACAAGATTCTATTACATAAATGATAAGTAAGATAATAGGTAAATGATAAGTAAGCATACTTTTAGATATGCATATAAATCTTAAGTATGAAAATGGCAAGAAGTAAATATGTTGTAAATAAGTAAGTAAAGAAATTAGGAACAAGTACAGAAATATAAAGCGTCAAAACAATTAATGGGTTTCGAACTTTCTACAAACCATTTGGCTAATTAATCCCAAACCTCTAACTTAGAAGACATTTATTGAAAGAAATGAGACTGAAATTACCCTTCTTGCTAATTAAATCATCACAATTCGAGAGTAAACTTTATTAGACTTTCTCGAGAATACCTCTTACATCAATACTTGTTACTTTCTTTAACAGCCTAAACCAATCAATGCTCTCAATCACTGCTACAACACAAATCCCCCTAACACTCATCTTTTTTTTTCAATCTTTAAAACTAATACTCTTTTAAAATTTCCAATAATGCTTATCGTCTCTTCATAAATATTTCATCATCCCTTTTCGGTCTTATATCACTACACTCTATATTATTCTTATCTTCTAATTTTTTTTTCATTCTCTCACTTTTCTCCAGTTATTTACACACTCACTATAATGCCTCATAAATTTTGATGATCTTTTCTCTTTCTCAAATTACAACGCTATTTCTTCTCTTACGCAGAAATATTACATCATATAATTTGTCCACTCCCTCCATTCACTACAATTATGCTTTTACTCTAAAAGGGCTGAAATTGAAGTACCATTTGATCTTTGATGTCAAACTTGCAGATAAGCCAAAATGGATGTTACTCTAAAAGGGCTGAAATTGAAGTACCATTTGATCTTTGATGTCAAACTTGCAGATAAGCCAAAATGGATGGAAATATCATTTAGAGAGTATGAAAGAAACGGGTTAATTAATTAATTAATTAACTCAAGGCTTAACTTTACCTTGTCATAATATGAAATTTACAATTAACACTGCATACAAAATTTCTGTTTGGCCAGATTTAAAAGTATTAAAGAAAAAAAAAAAAAAACTCGGAAAAGATCAGATATCTTTTATGGTATCCTTTGATACCTTCTAAAAGTGTCTTTAAGAGTTGTCACCTAAAGCACCACAAAAGTAAACTTTGTCCCCTGAAATTGGTTGATAATTAAATAATTTAACCTATTCAAGTTTATTCCTTCACTAATTAAAAAAAATTTCCAAATATTACCTAATGCTTTTGAAAGAAACTTTAAAATAGCCTACACATATTGTATGGAAAGTTTTTTTTCATACAATATTGCTTTTTTTTTTCTCTTTTTTTTTATTCGTTGGATAATACCAAAATTAAAAACTTTGACCAATTTGGTCAAGAGAAATGACCACAATATGAAGCGAATATAATTTTGACCACAACTCCAAACTATCATTTGAGTTAAGGTTTTTTTTTC